CAGAAGTTCAGAATTTACTTATTGATTGTTAATGCCAAGATTACTTTCAGATTAGTAGTTCCTTTTATTTTGATAATTTCTGATAGAACTTGAATTTCTTCAGGTCTAATCTTATTTTGTAAGCCTGTTAAAATAATAATTTTCTCAGTTCTTTACTTAGGCATTTCTTATTATGTTTTTTATTTTACAAAAAAAATTGCCTCTACTGTAAAACTCATGCATTAAGGATGGCAAATATGTCCAAACTGTCTCTCCTGTTGAATTTGCATGAGGCCTGTGTGTGTGTTTCTTCATCTAGACATGCAGTCCTGGAGCCACTGTGTGCAAATAAGAAACACATGTTTTATTATGCCAGCACTTTCAAACTTAGGGAGAGTTCAAATGTGTTGGTGATCACTCAGTTTTTCTTAGACCAAGGGGAAAAAAAATGTAATAGTAAGTGTGCAAGCTATATGGCATCCTGCTTTTTTTTTTTTTCTTTTCCCTCTCTGTTTCTTTCCAACAACTTTTGAGAGCCGTGTCCAATCAATACCAATCTGTAGGCATGAGCAGGCAGAAACCTGTTTGTGGTGTTGAAGATGGGAGGATACTGGTTTCCCTGGTACCTAATTAGAAAGTTAAGCAATTTCAGTCATCTGTAAGTCAAGCTGCTGGCTAAGGAGCATGAATTTCCTCTAGCAAAATGACATTTCTGTTGCAGTTTGATCGCTGGTCTAAAAGTTCATATTGTGATGGCTGTTACCTTCCTGTGGAAATGTGGGGGAAAAACCCATCTGGAGCTCAGGTGCTGAGAGTGGTTGATGGCAGATGGTTGGAGTTCAGGGGGTGCATTTGGAGAAATGGGCCGAAACAGGTTCGTTGGAGAATGGCACATGCGTGGCTCCAAGAGAACGTAGCAAGCTGAGGAGCTTCCAGCCCGTGTTGCAGCCAAAAGAAACAGCCGTGTCCAAGACTTTAATTTTATGCTGACATTTAACAAAAACTAAACCGTATTCAGGATGACATCATTCATCTTCGTTAAACGCTTTAGGAGGGAGTACAAAGCTTACAGAGTCAATAACAGCATGCTGAAACAAAGTGGCCATGTCGGGGTGATACAGTGGATTGATTTGGGCTCCCAGTGAGCTCCAGAGCTGACTCTTGCCTTTCTCAAAGCTTTTAAGTTGACTGTGTAACTTGTTCTCTGGCAATTGGGAGGTTATAAAAAGAGAGCCAGCTGATGTTGCAATCTAAGCACTGGCCATATAGTGGAAAGACTCTCCTCTGGCATGTTCACTAGGGCTATTTTTACCTATTCCAGTAAGATCTGCCCTTGTGATGTTAAATTACAGGACAGTACCTGGAATTATTTTGTTTTGCAGAAGCGCTGAACGCTCTGAAGAAAACTTTAAAGAAAATTGTCAGGCAGATTGAGCCTAAAATTGCTTTCTATTTGAGAGTAGTTTTTCTTCTGTCACCACAAATAATCCTGCTGCTGTAACTGTAAGAGATTCTTTCACTTTTGTTTGCGTATTTTGTGTCTGGCAGAGGGTTTTTAAAAATGTTGGTTTCCTTTATATACTGAGTGTTTTGTCTTTCTCGGCCTCTCACGTGGAGAGTTTAAACGGGCAGTGTGAGTTTTAAGGACAGGGAATTAACAGTGTGGCCCAGGAATAAGTACAGAAGTAGGCTTTTGTCATAACTTCTACAAAGCCTAGCTGCTTTTGATTAAATTTTAAGTTGGTGATTCCTTCACACAATAGAAAATGAATTTAATATTTTTTTTCTGGGAGTAGATTTTCAGCACTGCCAGTGACAAAAGTGCTGTATCTAGAAAACTGTAGAGAAAGCTGGAGGAAAGAGCAAGACTGCTGTAACAGTATATCTCTGGGGTTCGGCTGTGGAAGTGTCACATACAGGGTGTCACATATGCAGATGCGTGACCCTCTGAATCCCAGCGCTGAAATGTCCAACAACTGTGGTTACCTCATCTTAGATAGTGATGGGTGCCACAGGATAAGAAAGACTTGAAGGGGCTGGAGCGGGTCCAGAGAAGGGCAACAAAGTGTGGGGGGTGTGTGTTTAGGGCACAAGTTTTGTAAGGAGAGGCTGAGGGATCTGGGGTCATTGAGCCTGGAGAAAAGAAGAATCAGGGGAGATCTCCTCCCTCCCTACAGCTCCCTGACAGGAGGCTGGAGTGAGGTGGAGGTTGGTCTCTTCTCCCAAGTAACCAGGGACAGGATGAGAGGCAATGGGCTGAAGTTGCTCCAGGGGAGGTTTCAATCGGCTATTAGGAAGAATTTCTTCCCTGACAGAGTGGTGAGGCCTTGGCCCAGGCTGCCCAGGGAGGTGGTAGAGTCCCCATCCCCGCAGGGGTTCAAAAAACTTGGATGTGACACTTTGGGTCATGGTTTAGTGGTCATGGTCGTGTTGGGTTGGTGCTGGACCTGATGATCTTGGAGGACTTTTCTAGCCTTCATAGTTCTGTGACTGCCCACATGTATTTTCTAAAACTGTCAGCATTTACTTCAAAAGGGACTTGACAACACAAACCCAAACCTATAATTTTAAAATTTTCCAATTCTTGTTCTGGATATTTGTGCAGTTAGGTGTAGCAGAATTTTTTCATTCATCCAAACCAACGTTTTAATACTGAGTAGTGATCAGGGATCAGATTGTGCAAGCTCCATGCTCCCCTTATGGGACACCTGCTTCCCCTGCTCCTTCTCCTGCACTGTGGAGTATCTCAGGTGGAAATCCTGCAAGCAGGCAAACTTCCTCCTGTGCAGAGCCGTTTTCTTCTCCCTTGGCTCTGCCATTGTCTTAGGTGAACAATTCTACTTCTCAGGTTTAATTGAATCTCACATCTGCAGTAACAGCTGGTATTTTGGTCAGCTCCTTTGCTTCTGAAACTTTCTTTGTTGGCAGTTCTGTTAGCAAATGTTCTTACAGATTTTTGTTTTTCTTGTATCTCTTCTTTGTCAAAAAAAGTGTTTTACTCCTTCACAACAGTTACTTTGGTTGCTAGTAGAAATATTTTACCTGCTTCTTCTTTAGTCCATCGCACTTGTTCTATAGTATGCCTGCTCTTCTTGGTTAGTATTTGAGATTCCTTTTTCTTCTGTCTGGTTTTACAGTAAAAGTGCTTTGGGTTTTCAGTCTGTAAACTCTCTACCCCTCCGCATCAGTCCTCTCTCCTATTTTTCATCTAATATTAATCTGTTATAGTTACTGGATTAATTTTCTCTAAGTTTGTCCCAGACTCTTTTCAGCTCGGTTCTCAGCTCTTGGTGTCTGCAGGGACTGGTCTTTACAAATCTCTTGACCTCTTAGCTAAATGTGAGGATCATAAGTGCATCCTTGTTTTTATCAGTTTGCTAATTGTCAGCCTAGCTACTTTAAAAAAACAACCCCCAACACTTCCCCCGCTCCCCATGCCATTGTTGGTTCCCGTGAGGATGTCTCTCTGGGGTCCTCCACTAATGCTTACTGTGGTTTTGATCTTCCCTGTTTTTCTCAGCTTCTGGCTCCCACATACCCCTTGATTCAGTGTAGATTTTCTAAATATGTAATTACTGCTGACTAGTTGTTTTCTGTTGGAACTGAAGATCTCAGCTTTTCCTCTGGTACGTGAGAGAGAGTTTCTTCTCCCTCTCTCTCTTCTCCCCAGTCTCTGCTTATCTTCTTCCGTGATGGAAACCATACTCACAATATTTTGTGTCCCATTCCTAACTGTTCAGTGTAGAGAGGTCCACGAGTTAGTAAAAGGGGTAAAAGTACAGTTCACACTAAGGAGGTTTCAGTTTTAAAATGACTAAGTGGTTCAAGGTGGAGATCCCAAAGCATTCCTCTGGGTTCTTGGCAGTCTCTGGAAGAGTAAAATCATTGCAGCTTTTTCTTTCTCTTTTTCGTTTTTTTCCTACCTGCTCATTCCAGGAGAAAGGATACTTGTACCCGAAAGTGAGCTAGCAATATGAGATCTCATCTTGATTTTTTTTTTTTTGGTGTACTTTCTTGTATTGCATATAAAAAAAAAGACATGGGGAAGCTGGGACTGTTCAGACTAGAGAAGAGAAAGCTGGGGGGGACCCCATTGATGTGCATAATTACGCTGGTGGGAGGGAACGAAGACAACACTGGTGCCTGGTGACTGCACAGGGAGTAGTGAGCACAAATGAAAACATGTGACTCTCCTTCAGAGCATGAGAAAACCCTTTTTTTCTTTATTCTGTGAGGGTGGTAGTGTGTGCTTGTAGAGATGCTCCAAACCCAGCTGAGGTGGCCCTGGGCAGCCTGCTGGAGCTGCCCTTGCTTTAGCAGGGCAGAGGACCTGCATGCTCTCGAGGGTCCCTCATTGACTGTGTTGTATCTTTAATCCCCTTGCACACAACTGTTTCAGGAATCACTAATAAAGATGGGAACCTTGGGTTAGAATGCCTTTTACTATCAAGTGACTATTTTTGTATGTTTGACTTGCACTACTTTAATCCAAGCTTCCAATCTTTTAATCAAGACTTCTTCAGTTTTCCTAGGAATTCTTCCTCTTGCAATTAATGGTTACACACAAGATAGAGCTCATCAGGGACTTTGCGTCTTTCTGCTTTCTTTTTGGTTTGTATCCAAGATTTGTCATAGCATTTTTGAGTCAGCAAGGTGTTTCTGGGCCTAAGTGAAGAACTGACATCTGAAAAGGAAGTATTCCACTTGGCCTTAATTTTTGCTTTAGTGGATTTTCAGCTGCAAGAGATTTTTAGGATGTTCTTGATAAGGATTCTGTTGAGCTGGGGTTGCATTTGTGGTCTTGCAGTCTGGCCTTGCACAGTGTGTCCAGTTACACTGAAATGTTTCAGAAATAATGAAAAGCCAGAGGGCCCTGACAACTTTAAAACAGCAGAAGGATAATGACTTAACTCTACTACTGATGTAGTTCACAAAACGTTTTTTTTTAATTTGGTGTGTTGTGCATGTGTTTCAGTTTGTCTATTAAAATAGTAAATATCTTCTGTTTTTGTGTTGCCTTCCACAGATGATGCACTTTAACCTTTTGTGGTAGGTCTTCACTCGCTTAAGGAAAAGCTCAAGGTACAAGTAACTTTCTCCTGTTATCTTTCCCTTCCTCCTTCCCCTGTCCCATTCATTCTTCTGAGGTCCCTGGCTTTCTCCTGGGGGAAGGGAGAGGAACCCCAGCCCAGCTCTGTGCTCATACTTCTCCACTACTACTGAAGGGGCTTCTCATTTTTGAAAAATTCCACAAAATTGATATGACACCTACAGTTGTTTTAGTGTTTGCTTTAGCAGAAATGTATGTTTAACTTAAGCTCTTACTTCAGTCAGTCTCTGTGGGTATTTGCTTGGCAGGAAGAAAGCCCTTCCTCGGCTTAGGACTTACCATCTTGATATTTGCCTGTCTTCTCTAAGTAGCATTTGCCTTTCCACATAGCTACAGACCTGTTGTGAATAATCCAGACCTAATGTAAATCGTGTCTGTGACATTATCTTAAAACTGGTAGCTGGGTTTTTGTTTTACCTTTTCTGAGATTGTACCTCTGAAACAAAGTCTGTTACTGCTCTTGTTAAATAAATAAAATCCCACCCAAACCAGAACTGCAATTTAATGGTTGTATTTAGTTAGATAATGTAAGATAGAGTTAAAATGAAGCATTATTTTTTTGGAGATACTCAAGACAGTAAATGTGTGTCATAGTCTAAGTAATTTTGCTTGTATACAGCCAGTAATTTCTGGTTACATTCAGTTTTTATTCACCATTTTATATGGGATTCTTTGCAAATATTGGTGCATAGGAAACGGTGGAGTAAAGTCAATAGAGCTGTCCAGGCAGTTTGTAACTAAAACACTCAAGTAATGTTAGCTTCAGTTCGTATTGCAGAAGGGTAGGTTTGCACTCTGTGATCAGGTATGAGAGGATCAGTCACTTCTTCCATCTTCTCACAGAAGAACGTCTCCAGGCCACGTCCAGGCGCCGCTCCCTTCCCCACTCCCTGAGCTGTGTGGTGTTAGCATGGGTCTTAGAATGGATTCAGTGGTGACCTCCCGGTGGCACTGCTGTTCCTGGCACAGATCCCATGCTTAACAAACCCAATTTGGTAGTTTAAAGCTGCCCTGAGTGAATGCAGCAAACACAAGTCTTGAATTATCTGTGTCGCTGCATCCTACTCTAATAGCACAGCTGATCCAGCACTGCCTGATTTTGTGCAGGGGTATTTTACTGGTAACTGTGCTGTGCCTGAAGTGCACAGTTACCTTCCCTAACTCCCAACTACCTGGATAACTTCATCTTGAGCTGCATTCCTCTGCAGCATGACCCAGACTGGTTTAAAACCTGGTGTGTTCTCAGTGGTGGTGAACTCAGCATTACCTCCTTCACTACATGCAATGGAAGGAGGACAGAGCCAGGAATTCTTTGTGCTGAGCTTCTCAGTCACTGTTGTTTAATCCTTGAGAACTTGTGTGGGAAGGGCAGTTGCTGGATTGCTGACATTTGAGTAACTTTTTCATCCTTGCTGTAAAGTGGATGTGTTCCAGGCAACTGTAAACACAGTTTGGGGCTTTCATCTGTACTTGAAACAATTCAAGCATGAGCAATTTTAGAATGCAAATAGGCATGTGTCTGAGACTGTGTGTACACTTGACTGGAAGACTTGGGGGAAAAGTGCTGGTCCAAAGGGTCTTGTCTGTGTGGTGTCACTGCACATGTAAACTTTTAGCTCACATCTGCACTGCAAGGTCTGCTTCAAAGATCTGCCTTTCTGAATCTTACCTGCTCCTCCCTGCAGGTGTGGCTTTACTTTGTCCCTCCCCCCAGTGTGGGATAGGAGCTTGGCAGTGCCCTTGGCCTGCACACCAGCCCCTGGCAGTAACTGGACGTGGAATGAATGCCCGTGCGTCACTCGAGAGCCCCAACTGCCACCGCAGCTGCCTCTCACGGGGGTGCCACATCCACATGGGGCTTGAACCCCTCCAGGGCTGGGGACTCCAGCACCCTCAAGCTGTGGCCTCTCCAGTGCCAAGTCCAGCGGCATGATCCCTTCTCTATTCCTGCTAGACACGTGATTTGCGATACAGGCCAAGGATGCTGGTGGCCCTCTTG